AATCATATCTCGTTAACACCAGTTTTTTTTCTTAATGTCTGTACGTAACGTTTTTTTTGTATTTTAAATCGAGATCATTGGGCTAAATTTCGATTTTTTTTAACTAGGTTCATTTGCATGTTTTGGAGTTAAGTATGGCGTCCATTTTGCGTAACTTTAATACAATATTGTTTAGCAGTCAGCTGAAACCCGATTCCGGACGTGGGATTTTCCCGCTGCGTTGAAGATCTGTCGGTGGTCTTGGGCTGTTTTCTGCTCTTGGTCGGGTTTGTTCTCTTTGAAACATTCTCCGTATCCATTTTGTATTTTATTATGAACAAGCAGTTAGGTCGAACACCATGTGAATGACTAGGTATTTCAAATTTGAACCTCTCATATATCATAACAAGTCTTTATGAAAAAGGGAATTTGAAGACCATGGATAAATTTGCATTTGTTTTAAGGTGCTGCAGTTGGTCCTAATATTATTATCTATTGTTCTGCAAACATTTACGTGCACATTGTAATGTTTATGTGTTTTAACTTTCAAGCTGTGTGTGGAAATAGATGGTATGATTAACATGATCAAGCTTACAACACCTGCTGCAATCGTGTATTGAATAACATAAAAGAGCGTTCGTGCTGTGGAACAGTAGCGTATGATCGAGCTTACAAAACCTGCTGCAATGGTGTATTGAATCATAAATGGGAGCGTTCTTGCTGTGGTACAGTTGCGTATAATCCAGCATACAAATCCTGCTGCAATGATGTATTGAACCACAAAAAAGAGCGTTCATGCTGTGGAACAAAAACGTATGATCGAGTTTACAACACCTGTTGCAATGGTGTATTGAATCGTGCATGGGAGCGTTCGTGCTGTGGAACAATAGCATATCATTCAGCTTTCAAAAGATGTTGCAATGGCGTTTTGTGCTAGATGGAAATTGCAAAATTTAATTATTTTGTAAGAAAATGTAAGGTTCAACCAGTTCAGATTTTCGAGCCTTTTTTCAAGCTAGATTTCTACATAAGAAAATGCCTGTACCAAGCCAGGAATATGACAGTTGTTATCCATTCGTTTGATGTGTTTGAGCTTTTGATTTTGCCATTTACTTAGGGAATTCCTTTTTGAATTTTCCTCGGAGTTCAGTATTTTTGTGATTTTACTTTTTTGGTAGACGATATACTTTTGATAATGATAGCATAAATTCTTGTGATGAACTGATACAATGTATTTATATTTTATCGTATTATTATAATACGTAGAAGGCATTGGAGTATTGCTAATATTGATAATTTATAAACTACTTTCATGTTCCTTTTCGTCATAACTTTCATTACAGTATGAGGGTAGCAAGAAACTTCGAACCCTTCTGTAGTGGCGCAGGTCATCACTCGTTTGTGTTAATATTGTTTTTGCGTAATCTATATGAATGAAAGGAGATTGGTGTATACGTCAATGAAAGAGTGTTTTGTAGACGGTTGTTTTGAATTTGTACTCGCCCTGTTTATCAAACGTTATGCTGTGGGACAATTTCTTGGACTTGATTGGTTAATCAATCTTCTGAGTTGTGCTTTAAAAAGACTTTACTGTGAAAAAATAGATTAGGTCTTGCTTTTAAAACTAGAACCATATTTTGTATATGTATATCAAACTTATCTAAGAACAAAAAAAGACGATGTTGAAAAAAAGAAAGGTGAATGCTATGAAAGTTAGGGGGAAGTGGACAACCAACGGACTCTGTTTACATAATCAAGGGTCACATGGGTATTGAATTATAGTCCCTTAAACGTATATCAGTTTCGTATCAGTGCAGACTGGTCGAAATGAATGTGTTCTACACAAGACATATGAATGTTCATATCTACCCACTATATTAAATTTATGATGAGTGGGATATTTTAAAATAATGTATACATTCCCTTTATATAACGATACTCCAAAGTCTGTTATAACATTCGTCTTCAGTATGTATCTTACTGTATACTAAGAATTTTCTTGCATTGGTAAATGTTTACACAAAAAATGATACATGTATGTTCAACGAATAACAAATTTTCTATAGGCTTGTATGCTAACTTGGGCAAAAGCACAAAATCAAATATTCACGAAAATGCAAGTTTGTCTCAATCCACTAACGAAAATAATGAATCCACAGCATGATTTATATCGGTAATAATGAAATTTTAAAAGGAACTAGATATTAAGAAAAACACCGTAAGATATTTAACAATGAACCACACCGATATGTAAAGTATGCTTTAAAGGGCAAGAGATAACGAAATATTGGGGAAACTAAACAGAAAACTAACGACTTGATAACCAACTGCATAGATATAGCAGTATATCTCACAACTTTTTCGAACTTTTTTTTTAAATTTTTTTTTAACTTGTTTATTGATTTGGCCTTCCAACTATTTTTATTAGTTTGGATCTGATGAGTCTTGAGTAGACGAAACGCGTATCCGATTGGGTATAAAAGCCTTAAATAAAGACCTATCGAATAACCTTTTACAGTGCTGTAACGACACAACATAAAAACAAACAATCAACCAAAATAAGGTGAAACGGGTATCAGAACGATACTGAGCACCAAAAACAACTAAAACACCTCAATAAGACGTTTCAATCTTATTATTGTATGATATTGAAATGGGTCCTATTTTAAAACTAAAAACAGATACGATATTACTCAGCGGGTATCAACCACAAATTGAATTATTATTCAAAATTGATGAATGTAGACTTGCACCAAATAAGGAATATATAGCTGATCTAGGTACAAACATGTAGTTACGAAGCTGATTACGAACTTGTCGAACGGTAACCAGCAATTGTTCACATATATGTCCTCTGGTCTGTTAGTTAGTTGTCTCATTATCTATCAAAACACATCTCATTATTCTGATATTGAGACATACTGATCAAACCTCGAGTATGTAGAACAAATTTTTAACATCGTAAATGAAAATGAACGACTAAATATATCGCCGAAGAATAGTTTTGTAAAATGTTATTTATTAACAGAACTCAAATTTCCTGGTATCTGTGATGAGTTTATTTCCATAGTGTTCTGGCCAAATCTGAAATTTTAACACTCAGTCGTAAAATATCGTTTTGTTGAGCAGTTTGATAAGTTGTATCTGTTCGTTTTTAGATGATAAAACATATGTAGATAACGGAAGCAGTTGTGTTCGTAATGATATAAAAATACTGTTTGAAAATATTTTATAACATTTACGGTAAGCTTTCTTTGATCTTTTTATTGTCCGAAAATCTCCTCTTCTAACATGTCTGTAATGATAAACAGTGGATTACTTGTCAAGGTCATTACAAAATCTTCAAAATCTGGAGGGTTGAGATTAATATTTCTATTTTGAACAGATATATCATGTTATGGAGGGGTATTTGCGAAAAATACCAGTTAAGGGACAGTGAAATTTCCCCAGCCGCTAATACCCCTCCATAACATGATATATCTGTTTAATTACACTGAATAGGTTTTGATTGAAACTGTCTGTACATGTGAAGGGAAATCGTAGAACCGCGGGAATTATACATGTACTTATACGCGTTAGTACTGTCTTTTTCTAACGTCATGGTATCTATATGTGTAAACGTCATTGTTATTCCATGATCAAATCGTTCATTTGTATAGACATTTGTTTCCCTCTTTATATGTATATTTCTGAGAGTTTTCGGTTTAACTCAATCAATAGTGCTTAACCATGTTGTCGGGATAAAGTGAGAAAGGTTCCGAATGATTTTGGCGGGAACTGGCTCAAAGGGTAAACAAGGAATATCCAAAATGGCAAATACCACGGCAGAGAGGGGAATTTGAGGCACATTCACCGGCAGTGATGAAAAAATAGGCAAATTCGTTTGAAATGAGGAAAAAATGTTAGAATATGCGAAAAATACACTGGCTAACAACCAATCAAAATCCGGCATTCTTATATAAGGTGTAATTAGTACAAAAAATCATATAACATTAGACTACTTGATTGGATATTAATTTCTTATGACGTTGTTAACTCTGCATAGAGTTTTTGTTTGCATTATATCTGTATTAGTTTCTAAATTTGTTAATTGAAAAATAGGTTAAGCCTTAATGACAGTGTTCCACGATTAAAGACACATGATTTTACATTAGATTAGTTCTGCACAAAAACAAAAAACACGAACAAATAATTAATCAAATCATCGGTATATTAAATGAAAAGATCCATATCTCAGAAATCTTCAACGCAAAATAACCATAATACCTAGGGAACTAATTTGACAAATTTTCTGGGAATTACGTGGCCCAATTAGAAAATAGATAAAGTTTAGATTGTATCATTTTGTAGTCACTTTAGAATGCCAAATTATTCATACATTAGAAGATTCACAAATAATTGGACATCCCCGATATTCATAGTAATACTGGGTACATAAACTCCACAAAATTACAGAAATCCATAGAATTAAGCATACATGTACTGTCATTTAAGACATTGAAACATATTTCAAATTGTATATTTGATTTATTCTTAGGAAGTAATTATTGAATATAAGGGCGAGCAATACAAACAAATTACACGCACTGTCAGAATTGAAATATAATCTTACAGCTTTTTTTAGTGTGATTAGGCTGCTGTCTCATTGACGATTAACTTACATCTCGTTTAATGCATTTGCATTTGATTCAATTTGTATGCGTCAGAGTTTAGTATGGCGTATATTTTGTTAAACTATCATTGTTTAGGGCCCAGCAGAAGCACACCTCCGGATGCATAATTTTCTCGGTCCGTTGAAGACCCATTGGTGGCCTTGGGTTGTTTTCTACCCTTTGGTCGGGTTGTTGTTTCTTTGACACATCTCCTGCTTCCATTCTCTATTCTATCTCAAAAAAGCATCTGCATACAAAATTATATGGCTGTTTTGCTATTAGGTGTTGAAAATAAATGTCTATGCAATATCGACGGCAGGCGTACTTCATTAGCCCACTCAACTTCTTTAAGGTAACCATATTACGTACATGATAATTACAACGACCATCTATACAGCGACGACACAAACCACTGAAACTACGACAGTACGCAGCGCTGGTACATCTAGAATTGATAAATTTTTAAAAATGATAAGTGTTTTATGTTTGTGATACATTAAAATATAATTAAAAGATTACTTTTCTCACATCAGCGAATATGACTTGCCACCGACTTTCTAATTGAAATTAGCAACACAACGGCTGTCACAATTATGTCAGAAAAACCCTAAACTCTCAGATATCATGCGTTCATCTCTAATATTTTATGGAGTTCGTCTTCCTTAATCTTACATTTTCTGTGCAGTGTTTTGTAAACTTTTAATTGCCTTTTTGGTAGCTTCATTTTTCTACAATGTTGTCTTCTTTCTTCCGTTTATAGTTTTTATTTTGGTCCTCGATTTTCGAGCAATAGAACTGATAATGTGTAGTTCGTAATCATGGTTGTGACATATATTTTTGTATATGATAACTATCCAAAAGACATAATTTGCGTGGTTGCAAGCAACTATTGATCACAATAAGGGCTAAAACGATTTGAAAATTAAGAGGTGAAACATGTTTCAAGCGCTAAACTTATCCTTACTTGGTACAGTTCTGTGACAGTACACCATGAGAACAAACTGTAAAAATCAGTTGAACATTTCTTGACTCATCAGATCACAAAAGGACAATTAGGACACAAAATTTCTTTCTATGAATAATCGCAGTTACCGAAAGCTCAACGTCTGTTACAACTATTAAATAAATAATCATTTCACCAACTAAAAACGTCTTGTTTAAATTACAATGCCAACCTTACTTTTTGTCAAGTTCCCGACAAAAGATATTGAAGATGTTCTATAATTGTCTTAATAAAAAAAATAGGACGATTCACCTTTGGTGCAACAGAAGACAGCAATACAGATATCAAGTGGTGTAGATTTAATTTATTAATGGTCACCGTGCAACCTTCAAACATTAAATAGCAAAACTTATACCATACTGTATGCTAAAAAAGGGCCATATGACATGACAAAACAATTCAGACGAAAATTATTTCATTTGTAAATGTGTAAACAGTGTAATCGAGCAAGGAATGACATAATTCATACGAAAAGTTCAAATGATTTGAATGTTATTTATTGGTTTTTTCTGCACTTGCCATTCAAAGTCATTTGTAGCTGCAATCAGGAATAATCAAAACAACGAGGACCCTTATGTCGACGTTCTTGCTGTTATGGTGCTTACATAAATGTGAAGGGTGTTTATTTTTATTGGATTAGCGACCATATGTTTCAAAAATAAGGATCGGCAACACAAGCATCAAATACAGTTGTTCCAAAAGAGGTGAGCAAGAGTGAATACCATATTTTTCGTTAATCGTCCTTGTCTGGAAACAACATCATCAAAACGAAATCGGCGGGGAGAATATTACTCTATATATCACTGAGGTATCTGTATTTAAATAGAAGATACCACAACTTTTAACAAACAAATTTGAACCAGTATCCGCTGTACATAATTCATCGAAAACAGAACAGCAAAAATTATAATGCAAGAATCCAAACAAACTGCACTCGAACTCCTGAATCAACCAATCAGCAGTCATCAGAATATATTTGTTGAGGTATCATTTCTATATTATTTCTTGATAATTAAAAAAAGTTGAAGTTTGCGATAACCTTATGAATTGAAATTCAGTTAGATAAATTAGTACAAAACTTCAGATTGAATTTATAGAAATACGTTAATTGGATACTAAGTGATCATGGAATCTGCATCAAAGCTACAATTTGTTGTACAATGTTAGATTAAGTGACAGATCAATCTCTCGAAGGGTACAAGTCAAGTCAGCCAACCTAATTTTAAATGTAAAAAAGACACTGATTTCTTACGCATTTCCATTTCCAGGACTAGAAAAACCCACACACACGCCATTTCTGCAATCGCTTATCCACCAATCACCACCATCCTCTCTCCAACACGATTCGCCATCAGCTATACCATGACAGTTAAAATGAATCTCACTTTCTCTGAGAGTCATTATTCCCCCTGCAAAAAATGTACCCTTCTTGAATAGCAAGAAAAACAAAAGATAAAGTGTTCGTATGAGATCTCTTTAGTATATCTAGTAGTAGATTACAATGTGAAATGTTTCCAAAGATAGATAAACATACGGTAAGAAATATTTAAGGAATGACTGTAATATTTTTTCTGTATATGAAGAAATAACATCAAAAATGTGGTGCATACTGAATAACCCGCGTAGCGGGTTATTTTAAAGTGTGCACCACATTTTTTATGTTATTTCGAAAAGACAGAAAAAATATTACAGTCATTTCTTATAATTTAATTCTAAATTTCATTTAAACCGGAGTAAACCATGAAAAAAAGGTTGTTGACGTCACGGTCACATGACAAAATAATGTCTAAGAGCTGATAGACAAAACAACGTCAGCCAATCAGAAGACGTGTTACATCCAAAATTAAATTATTTGAATATATTTGAAAGTTCTTTAGTTCTGTTGTGCTTTCATTACTTCTTACTGTTTCCAAACAATTGTATTTTATAGTGCATATTATCGGCAATTTGTACATGTTCTGTTTATTCTACTGCATGATAATTTGTTAAAACAAGGACAGGGCGTGATACTCTCAAATATATGGTAATGTTCGGACGCCACGTAAATATGCAGCATTGTCACGATGTCATGGAAATCCGTGTCAATATATCAATGAAACGCACATAACATCATTCATACAAGAGAGGCGGACGATACATTGTAGCAAAAGAATAGTCAAACTCAAGTCGAATACAAACTGACAATGCCACGCCAAAAAACGAAAACGACCGGCAATCAAACAACAGTCTACAAAATACAACATAGGAAACTAAAAACTGAGCAACAATAGCTTCTTTTAAGTAAGCAGCAACACTCTATCAAGGTAATTATGACAGTTCTAGAGCTCTAGAATATCGTATTAACTGGCAGGAATGCTGCTACATAGAACTGAAAAGCTGTAATTATCTCTTTTGTCGTACAGATTTGTTCTCATTCGACCCTTATTTGTCAATGCAAGCTTTAAGTGAAGATAATAGGCAGACATAACTGATTTTTATAGTTTTTTTCGTATGTTGTGCTTTTTCACCACTGTCCCAGGTTGGGGAGGATTTCGCGCCAGAAAAGATAGTTAACCGCGCCACATTCTGCATGTACCTCTCCCATGCCAGGAGTCTGTAATTCAGTGGTTGTTGTTTGTTGTTGTATATATCATATTTGTTTTTCGTTTATATATATTTTTTTGTAAATAAATCAGGCCGTTAGTTTCTCGTTAAAAATGTTTTACATTTGTCGTTTCGGGGCCTTGTACATTTTTTATGCTGCATAGGTTTTCTCATTATTGAAGGCCGTACAGTGACCTATAGTTGTTAACCTCTATGTCATTCGGTCTCTGATGGAGAGTTGTCTAATCGGCAATCATACCTCATCTTTTTATTTTCATATTAAATGTATCTGCCGTATGCTTTATTTTAAGTTCGATGGAGTATATGCGTTCAATGTAGTTACCAAACTTTAAAATATTTAGTGAGAATATATCATTTCTGACGTGAAGTTAAAGGATACTACTAACATTAACAGTACCAACTTTATTGCACCAGATGCGCATTTCGGAAATAAATGTCTCTCCAGTAAAACTCGATGTCAATATATCAGAAAATCTAAATGTATTTAAACAATGGAGAGCTTATAAACCAAAATGGTTTTGGAGAAGACGATCTAAGTTGGACTAACTTGTGTCTAATCCTTTTAATGAGTTTTTTTTTTTTTGCAAATAAAATATGTTTAAACTAAAATCCAAAAAGGGACAAAAATTATAGCAAAAGCTGGGAATTGAATCAGAGCTTTGCATCCGGGAGATATATTCTTTAATTCTAATTAATTTTCAAAATTGTGTAAATCAATCTTTAAGGACACCACAACTCGGCTAGTCATGAATATGACAGTTGTTTTGAGCTTTTAATTTTGCCATTTGATAAAGGACTTTCCGTTTTGAATTTTCTTTGGGGTTTGGTATTTCTGTTATATTACTTTGTGATTGTTGATAAACTTGATGTCGCAATTGGTTTGGTTTAGGTATAAGAGCAAAACAACCGAACAAATGTCACGCTGTTTGTACGCTTAGAAAAAGTTTGGCTAACTTTTTCTTGCAATTTCATATTTTTAACCAAACAAAAAGTTATAGTAAAGACTTATTGACGATGAAATAATAATAAAAATAATAATGGCATTTTATTCTTTAATGCTTACATCAGCCTCTTTTTATATTTTTGCTGATAAAGTCAGTATCAAAAGTAACAATGTCAATGTCATATACGTATTGCGTTCATATCTTAATATATTAATCGATATCTACTAAAGTTAACCCTGCGAAAAATAAACTATTTACTGCAAGTTGTGTTTGGTTTTATATATATATATATATAAGACTCTGAACCGCGAAGGTACTCCGAACCGCATTGTGACGTTATCTTGTTGATAGCTACGCCGAAGTGCAATGGTGGTAATGCTGAAGTGCGATGGTCTACACAAACTACATTTTTATTTCTTTTCATGTCGATGTTGAAGTCAATTTGTATGTTAGCAGCAGTTTTCCAGGTTTTTAAGTTGATAAGGGGCTTATAAACTTTAAATACTACGAGAAATCGGGAGGGTTGGTTGATAGGGGAAAGTTATCTCCCTGTAGCGTTTTTTTTTTCGAAACCTTCAAAAGGTTCATTTTTACGTACGATGGAGCGTGACATTCTCTAAATACATACGGGTCCGCAGACAGACTCTGTGTTATGATATTAAGGTAAGCGAGGAACTCATGAGATGATCAACGTAAAGATAAAATGTTAAAATACCTGTAAAGAATAACGCAGAATTATGTCCACATGTAAAAAATCAAAGAGGACGATCTCTCATTTAGTATGCAGACAATAATGTAAATTGATATAGAAAATATACTTCTCATAATAATTGCACGTCTGTTAGATTTTAAACTATTCATCACGCGTCAAATAGATCATCGCACATCAGTGAACGGACCATCGCAATTCAGCCTAGACCATCGCACTTCAGCGTGACCATCGCTATTCAGCGTCCCCATTGCACCTCCGAGTCCTACATATATATATACAGCAAGATTATCTGTAGATAGTATTAGGATAATTACTGAAATTCACAATATAACAGGTCGAATATCTATCTGTTCTTTACATTCATTATTGAATTTAGAATTTAATCACATTATCGTTTATTATTGATTGATTGGTAATTTTATTAGCCTTCCAACTTACTTCATTCGAATGATCCTAATGAGTCTCGTATAGACGAACTCGCGTCTGGCTTACTGAATGATAATCATAGCATATTTGATGACTTTCCCTCTACTCTGTCATTAACTTAACAGGGTGAATTGAAATAAAAATACGATATTTACCTAACATACAGCAGAATATCAGTAATACCGCCTTCATAGCAAACACCTTTATGTCCACTAACTATGTTATTTTGCTTTAAATATGTATTACAGAAAACATGTTTTGTATTTATACGAAAACAAACTGCGCATCATAATGTTGTTTACAACGATAGTGACCACATAAAAAGTTGTGGTTACCGTTCAACACGATATTTTAATTTAACCTTCATCTAATTTACATCGGAGAATCTTTAAACTGTTTCAATTGATGAAAGTCAAGGATGCATCAAAAGGGTTGAGCAGTAACAATACAGATACATTCATGTTACAAACTCAATCAATTTTATTTTCATGTAGCCCCTTTGTTCTAGCTCCGGGGATTCTTTATCTTTAATGTAACCTCAATAGTAACTGGTTTTTTTTCTCTGGCAGACATATTATATACATTTACCTAAATATCTACCTGTTTTTTCTCAAACGCTCAGTGTAAAGATGTTTTCAAACATAATGTCTAACTATGTCTTAACACCATGTTTTAAGTGGTTACGCAGCATATCATGAAAAAATTAGTTCTTACTCAAAATAAAACAAAATATACGCTTAAAAATTACTGCTTATCGGAATTTTGAAATAAAAGCAACAACTGTTTGCTCGGAGTTGGATAATGTGTCCAGGTAGAGAAACATATTACTACAAACTTTTAACGTGTGAGCTAGTATCTTAGAAACAACGTTGATTATGTAGGTCTTGTTTTTGGTGGGGTTAGTTTTCTATTTTGTGTTATGTGTACTGCTGTTTGTCTTTTGATCAATTTACCCTTTTTGTCATGACGTTGACAGTTGTCATCGAATTATGAATTTGAATATCAATTTGGTATGTTCAACCTGTCTTAAATAATCATATGCTTTTAGCCTGATATGCATGAAATATTTATTTCTCACTTTCGGTCAAACAACATTCCAGATATTCATATATAGGATAAAAAATAAATGAGACATCAACCAGACAACACAATAAATGCAAAACCAAATGTGTCGGATTTTATTAAAGGTTGCCGTAAAAAATGAGATATAGAAAACACAAAAGAATTACGTGTGTATTACATGTTTCTAAAATAACGTTCTAAAAAAGAAGCGTTGGTATATCATTGTAAATTACCAGTGGTTGGACTCCAGCACATTCTCCGGTTACAACATAGCATTATTTAACCAATATGTAGTTCTTTTGTATTTATCAGTATGTTTGTTTTTAGTGTTTTCTTGTGTTTTGTGTACTATTGTTTGTCAGTTTTTTTTTCTTGTTCTTTCTATTTTAGCCATGGCGTTGTGAGTTATTTTTCGATTTATGAGTTTGAATGTCCCTCTGGTATCTTTCGCCCCTCTTTTAGACTAGATATACATGGTCAGGATTGCAGTAATATAAAATGTATTTTATAAATCAATTTATTCTCATGAAAATAATAAAACGAAAAGCCTTAATAAGATAGTTTATTTCCATTTTTTGTCTTGTTCATACATTATTTTTCTTCCAAGTTTTGTAATATATATATATATATATATATCGTGGATACCAGTTATCGTCTGAGGGTGTTTATATATCATGGATATCATTGTCGTCTGAGGCTGTGTACGTAAAGTTTCTGTATTCAACACGTAGATCGTTGGGCTAATTAGATGTATGGGAATTCATCTAATTTGGGATGTGGAAATTTGGAGTTGGTAACTAATAAACTATTTCACATATTTTACACTACTATGAGCCAAATCCCCAAACAAATTGAGTCAATTATTTATACAAGTTGATCAAGAAATCCAACATGTCCAAGTTATTGCACGTTTTTTTTGTAAAAAAAAAGAAATTTGATGTTACGTATTACTTCATGAAAGAATACATTAAAATCATAGTTACTGATATCTAAAATGATAATGTCTTTTCCTTATAAACCTGCTACAATGATATATCTAATTATAAAAAGGAGTAATCAAGTTGTGGAAATATAGCGTTCGGTCAAACTTACGAACTGTTGTAGGGGTGTATTGAATAACGATGTTGAACGTTCTTGCTGTACATTCGGTAGCTTTTAATACTGCTGATTATGTCAGTATCGCTTAAGAACTGTTTACAATGCTATTTATATGACAGTTCTGAAGAGAGTTAAATAATGATCAATACTATGTGATATGATATAGAACTACATAAGGTAAAACACTGGCACTTTCAGAAAATCTATAGTCTACTTTGAATAAGTCGTTCAGTTCACAACGCGGCAATGATGTATTGCAAAATGTCAGGCAGAGTTCATGCTGTGGAACGGTTGCCATTAATCGATATAGCAAAACCTGTTGCAATGGTGCATTGAGAAATGTCATGGAGGCTTCATGTTATGGAACAGTTGTGTATGATTGATCTTATATTACCTGCTGCAATGATGTATTGCATAACGTCAGTGAGGGTTCCTGCTGTGGAATAATTGCCTTTACGAAAGCTTACAAAACCTACTGCAATGGTGTATTGAGAAATGTCAGATGGGGTTCATGCTGTGGAACAGTTGCGTATAAAGCATCTTACAAAAGTTGCTGCAACGGTGTTTTGTGCTAGGCGAAACTAGCAAACGTGGAACAGCTTTAATTGTATGCTTAATAGTGTTTTTTTTCTTCATTTCTTAGTTCAAAGATGTCAGATAACATTTATTAGACTATAGAGACTTTTTTCATGTTAAATTGATACATTTTTTATTGAGCGTATACCTTTAGTTTTCTAAGTGTTTTGTGTATTAATGCTTGTCTTTTAGTCTTTTTCTTGTCTTGCCATGGTGTTGTTTTTTTCCACTTATGAGTTTGACTGTCCCTTCGGTATCTTTGGCCTCTCTTTCAAATTCAACAAAGGGATAAACAGTAAAATAAATCTGTCGAAAAGGGAAGAAATTATTGAAACGATACGGACAACCAAAATAGCTTACAACACTGAATAAAACGTTACAATAAACGCATCATCGATACCAGGAATTACATTTTGTACGCCAGACCCACTTTTCGTCTATAAAAAGTTAAATAACAAAAATACCGAACTCCAAGGAAAATTCAAAACGGAAAGTCCCTTATCAAATGGCAAAATTAAAAGCTCAAACACATTAAACGCATGGAAAACAACTGTCATATTCCTGACTTGGTACAGGCATTTCCTTATGTATAAAATAGTGGATTAAACCTGGTTTTATATGTGCATGTTCACACTATACTAAATTCATATACAGGAGTGTGCTCCTTACGCAGAAACTGCTAAGTACCGAACGTGGCCTATTCTCTAATATGACTGTCATACCGAATGTGAATTTGCATTGCTATACGATGTGTCTCGGTATTTTGTACATCTAACATTCATGTATTTATTTTTGATGTTTCTGTTATGGTTTCGGATGGATAATGTGAAATGCGTTATCGCTTGTAGTCCAAATTATTATAAAATTGCCTTTCAATACCATCATTGTCATGAAAATTGTTTGGACTGGTATTGTAAAAATAATTGTACAAAGTTCGAGATTGCATGTTCGTTACGTACGTGCGCCCCTGTTTGTGATGTCCTGTGGTGTCTGTCGTTGATGGAAGATGTTCGTTATTGTTCTGGGGTTTGCATATTGTGTCGACTATTATATTATTTGTTTGTACGTTTCTCTGTAATGAGTGTTCTTGCGTGTGGTTGTGCTGTATTTCTGTCACGTAGTGTTGTCATTTTAGCGATATTATTTAACATTGTCATAAAAGCGGGAGGTTTGGCTAGCCATAAAACCAGGTTCAACCCGCCATTTGTTCTGTAAATGTCCTGTACCAAGTCAGAAATATGACAGTTGTTATCAAATAGTTCGTTTTTATGTACGTTAGCGTTTGTTTTTGTTGCCCTTCAGTGTTCCTATTGTTCCTTTGTTTTCCCCTTATAGTTGATGTTTTTCCCTCGGTTTTAGTTTGTTACCCGGATTTGTTTTCTCTCAATCGATTTATAACTTTTGAACACCGGTATACTACTGTTGCCTTTATTTATAGCTCGCTAAACCTTTCACTTGCATGACAGTCGCATACAATTCCATTATATTGATAACAATGTGTGAACAAAACAAAAAGACATAACATGTAAAAATGTCAAAAATAGGGGTACAGCAGTTAACATTGTTATATTCTTAATCACTATAAAAGCAAACAAATATGTCAACAAAGAAAAACAAAATGGCAAATAGACAAAGCATATAAGCAAATATGAAAGACAAGAATACAAAAAATGACGATAGCACAATAACACAATGGCGGGATGTATAAGTACCGAGCCACTCATCAATGACGCTCGGATCACAAGAATTAAAAAAGCCAAATTGAGGACTAAAAATTCCGAAAGGTTTTGCCAAACACAGCAAAGGTAATATAATCCTGGGGTAGAAAATTCAAAGTGTTTCAAAAGCTCAAAATTCAATTTCATTATGGTACGACATTGAAACGGGTCCAATTTGAAAACTGAAAACAAAATTGTTCGCCTGGTATGAACCAACAATTACACCAAAAAGCCGAGTCCCCAAAAAAACCCAGATAACTGTTACAGGTACAAGCTTATAGTATGCAAACTCAATAACAAACATGCAATAACCTGTATTTGTGTTTTCTCAAAAACCAAAACGGAAAACGAAAGTATTTTCATTTTTCGTTTTTGATTTTTCAAAAACCAAAATGAAAATCAAAAGTGTTTTAATTCGTTTTTCGTTTTTGATTTCACTAAACAAGAAAAACATCTACATTTGTATTCCATTTCTGTATTTTGTTCTATCTAATTCTCGTTTTACGTTGTACAATGTTTTCCTTTCTTTTTACATAGCCATCGGTAACCCGGTGTATTTCCTACTTCATGTAGACAGAATAGACCGCATGACTTATGATTTGAACTAAGGTGGTTAATGAATCAAAGACTTTCAAATTTCTTGTTTTTATCTATAATAAAATGTAAAATTACTACATTTAAATGTTAAATGAATGACAAATTTAAATTATACAATGAAATATTATATAAAGATGGTAAAAATAAAACGACTAAAAACAACATCACATAAACAAGGGAGGTTACTACTTATCTGAAAAGAAAACTAGCCCTGCATAGCGGTTATCAGATCAATAGTATTTAAATCG